GGCCTCGCCAAGGCCGGGCCCCTCCCTGGTGTCCTTGTTGCCCGTCTCCTGGGGGGGGCTGGTGTCCGTCCTGTCTGTGGGCCCACGAGTCTGCCCCCCCCTCCCCAGCCGCTCATCATCTCGGCTACATCGTTAAAGCTAACGAAAGTGTTCGCGGAGGACGGGTCCACAAAACAGCTTTCCTCTCGCGGCGTTTGGTCTTCAGAAGAGGGCGCTGGCCGTTAGGGGCGGCGGGCGCAGCCTCTGGGCCCTCCCTGCACCTCCCCTCCCAGGGCGGTGAGCGCGAGGACGTCCCCCCACCCCCACCGTACGGTCTGGCTTCCTGCTCGGTCTCCCAGGGATTTTGTTCAGAATTCATGTAGTTGTTTTCGTAAAAGCCACGAGTATGTTGACCTGAAGATGGCAACTCAAACAGAGGGAGAAGAAGGGTTTGTCGGTGCTCGGGAGGGACGGGGGGCCCCATGCGGCCGGGAGGGGAGCCGGGGCCACTTCCCCTCCCTGCGCCGGTCGCTGGGCTGACACACGAGATTTCAAAACCCGCCCAGGGAAAGTCACATGTTCGTTGCTGGTGCCGGGCCAGGCCCCTTGGGGTTGTTTCCAGGCTCGTGATTTTGAAACACTCAGGAGGAGCTTTGGAACCTACAATGATTTATCAGTTTGGGTGATAGTCTATTTTTTTTTAATTTAAAAATCTGTATTACTTGATGTGAGAGAGTCAGAGAAACACATCGATTTGTTGTTCCCTCGTCTGTGGCTCCCTTCCCTGGTTCTCGTGGGTGCCCGGACGGGGGATCGAACCCCTGGTCTTGGGGTGTCGGGACGCTGCGCCAACCAGCTGAGCGCCCTGCACGGGCCCCACGGCCTGTTTTTTCGTCTGAGCTTCGTTCTGTTCTCTCGAGCTGCTTCCAGCGTTCTCGTGCCTGTCACTGCGCGTGAGGGGACTGCCTGAGACCCGGCCCGGAACCCAGACATCCCTCCGTGGGTGCCAGAAGCAGCAGTCCCCCTGCCGCCGCCCCGTTCCGAGCTGCCCCTGGGCACACTGCCTCCCTCCACCCCCCCTCCGGTGGCGACTTCCCCATCTGGACGGTCACTTGCCTCCCCTCTCAGTGGCCCCTGCTGGCCCTGACCTTTGGGGCGGCGTCCAGAGGTCACGCCTGAGGCGGGGGCTGAGATGCTGTGTCATCACACGGGGCGTTTGGAGGGCTGAGGGAGCGGTTCTGTAGGGACATCGATGGCCCGTAGGTGGGACCTTCGACCTGGGCCTCCAGGAGCGCGCGGGGGTGTGCAGGGGCGCCGGCGCAGCCGGGGCGGGTCGTGGAGGCCGGCGTCCCCAGGCCGCTGCGCGGGCGAGAGGCTCCAGTCCCGTGGGACGCACAGGGCGGCGGGGGCCACCGGAGAGGTGCCGGCAGGGGGCACAGAGGACTGACGGCAGGATCGGCAGGATCGAAGGGGAGGGTTTGGGGTGTGGGGTCAGAGGTCGCCGTGCCAGTGGGGTCGCTGCTGCGGAGACGCAGGCCGGGAGCACATACCAGGGAGCCTGCCCGTGGTGGGGGCTCTGCGGACCGGAGGCCTGGCGGCTCTGCCGTGCCAGACCCCACTGTCTCCTCTCCGGGTGCGGGCTCGTTCCTGCCCCCACAGCCCGCCGTCAGGGGGTCCTCAGAGCAGCAGTGTGCACTTAACGGCTTGGGGGGGCGTTCTGGGTGCCCCCCCCCACCCCCCGGACCCCGAGGTGCAGAGAGCCAGCCTCTGACGCATGGGAGGCGTCCCGGCCCGCGGAGCCAGCGCCCTGGCCGGGGTCTCAGTCGGACGTGGGCGTGGCTGGGGTCACCGAGGTTTCACTCTTGGAGAGAAACCGTGGGGGAACTTCTGATTCCCGTGGAAACGCTGAGAGGGCGCGTTCTGTCCTGAACGGGCGCTTCTCCCTCTTCGCCTGGACACACACGGCGCCCGGGCCCGGCTGCACCCCCGGCGGAGCCCGGAGGAGGCCGGAGGAGCTCGCGCACACGCGGGGGGTGCGGGCGCCCAGCCCGTCCTCGGTGTCACACGGAGTTGTCTCACTACCTGGGTCGCAGTTCATGACGCCCTCATTTCTTTCCATGTTTTTAGCCAGCTCTGCTCGTCCCACCGTTTAGTGATGAGTGCTCTTTGCACCGACTTGACCTGAAATACGCCGCACACGCGTGTTTTGCGTGCTTCCCCGTGTGTCTGGGTCTCGGGTGGCACCGTGCTGCCGTAGCTGCTGTTTCTCTAGGGCACGCCGACCTGTTTGCTGGGCACAGCCGGGCTTTGAACCTGACGTGTCTTTTCGGGATTCTCGGAGGCTGAACTGTGAATGAATGTCATGATCCCTTTGCCACCCTCTGAAGAAAAGGCTTTCTAGAATTCTGGCCGGATGCTGTTATGATTCTGTGACGTGGGAGGACTTCTCAAGCGTGTGCCCGGGCCTGTACGTGTTGCCTGTCCTTGGGAGCGTGTCTCTCGCGGTCTGCTGGCCTCGAGGGCACCGTCTGCTCCCGGGGCGGGGGGGCCTCAGAGTGTCACCCAGCTCCGTGCCCCCAGGGCTGACCCCTCGCTGGCCCGGGGTAGGCCCTCAGTGACTGTTTGCTGAGTGGATTGTGTACATGGTGTTTTCCGTTTTCCTTCTTTCGCATTAGTCCAGAGAGGGTCCCGGCCACACGGCTGTGGGTCACAGGAGATGAGCATTGTCCCAGCCCCGGGGGGCGGGGAGAGCTGGGCAGTCGTGCAGTGACGCTGAGGCTGAGGCCCCGGCCTGGCCCCTGCGTGGGCTCCGGTCCCTCCCCTGGCACTGCCCGGCCCGGTCAGCGCGTGTGGCGGAGAATGAGCTTGTGATCAAATGACTTCATTTCGGGACTTCCCTGAGCGGCGCGGAGGGGGTGGGGCTGGTGGGGAGGAGCCCCTGGGGTCTCAGGAGGGACAGGTGGCCGGGCCTGTCTCCCCAGGAGAGGCTGCGGGAGCAGCTGGGGCGCCACCTGACCCTCAGCCAGCTGCCAGGGGCTGAGCCCACTCCGGCTGCCCGAGGGGGCCCGGTTGTCCTCCTCGCAGCGGGCACCTCGCAGGGCGGCTCCCAAGTGCCCACCCAGCCCCTCGCCTTCCTGCAGCTGCGCAGGGGACCCCCGAAGCGCTCCCCCTGGGGCCTGCGGTGTGGGGGCTGGTGGCGGTTGTGGCACCGGCGTTTTAACTGTGTGAGCAGCTGAGCGTGAGGGGAGGGCGGCCAGGCCCTGCGAGGGCTCGCCCAGCGGGGTTCGGGGCGCCGCCTGCGCTGGGCACCGAGAACCGCAGCGCAGCCGCCTTCGGGGACCGACCGCAGGCCACAGGGACGGCCCTGCTGCCCGGGGAAGCTGCCCTGGGCCGCACGGCGCTGGGACCCCCCGCTGGGCGGGTGGAGGGAGCCCGCAGGCTGGGTCCGCTGTCACCAGCCGGTGCCGCTGGCCCAGGGCACGCGCGGGCTCCCAGACGGTCCGAGGTCCTGCCCGCCCCTGCGCTGCCCCTGCTTTCACGGCCCAGCCGGCTCCCGCCTCTGTGGCCCCGCGGGAAAGCCGGCGTCTCCGCGGACCTGAGCCGCGTGGGTGGGGGGGGCGGGGACACGGGGTGCCGCGCTGCAGTGGGGCGTGTCTGGAGTCATGAGGCCTACGGAAGGGGGTCCTCTCGGCCGCCCCACACCCCAGGACCCCCACGTGGTGGCCCTTCCTCTCCCTCTGGGCTTCCCCCGCACCGCGACCCTCCCCGTGGAGCCTGTTGGTCGTCTGACCCGGTCCAGCACCCATCACCGGGGCCGCTCAGTGTCAGCCGCGCCCCCGGCCGGTGCCCGCGGTGCGCAGCTGGGGCGAGTCTTAGCGGCCGCGTCGTGTCGGAGTCCAGACCACGTCGTCGCCACGCGGTCCCCGCCGCGTCCCACGCGCTCGCTCAGCAGGCCCCTGCGGGTGCCGGGCTGCGCGCGTGGAAGCGAGGCTGGCCGCTGGCTCTGCGTCTGCGGGGGACCCGCCAGTGTCCGTGGGAGGGAAAGGCACCGAGTGGGGGGCGGGGCCCTGGAGGTGGGCGGGGCCCTGGCGGTGGGCGGGGCCTCGCGAGCTCCGCCCCCACGCCGCTGGCTGCAGCCTGCCCCCCCCCACCCCACCCGCACACGCCCCAGCCACGTGCGCCCCGCGGCGACGCCGGCAGCTGCTGGGGTGGCAGTCAGATGCTCTCGGCGGTCTCCGGGTTTTTTTAAAAACGAAAGGAAGCCGTTAATCACTGTCCCGAGGTGTTTTGCCGGCTTGCGGACCAGGTTTCTGTGGCATGAATAATACGCAGCCACTGAAAACATGTGACCTGAGAGGGTTTTTTTTTTTTTTCTTTTTGCCCCGGGAAGCTAGTGAGGGATGATTAACAGGTTACTAATTGTTCCCCATTTAGATGTATTGCTCAGAGGTGTCCACGGGGGAGGTTTCCTCCTACCAAGCCGATTTTTCGCGGGGCCTGCGTTGCAGGAGGCGGCTGGCGGGGGTGGGGCAGTGAGGGGCCGGCCGGGTGTTCGGAGCCCGGAGGGACGCGGCGGGGTGCGGGCAGCGCGGCGGGGCCGAGCGTGGGGGAGGCGAGGGTCTGGGCAGGCCCTGGTGGTGGTCTGCTCCCGGGGTCGGGGCCCCACCCGGACACACACCGCCCTCCCCCCGCCCCCGGGGCCGGGATCTGGCGAGGAAGAGCGAACCGGCGCTCAGAGCGAGGGGGCGGCGCCCCCTCCAGCCTCCCTGCAACCTCCCGAGGAAAAGGTCGTGTGTGTCGCGCCGTGACTCTGGAATTCAGAGGGGCTTCTTATTGCGGGGGGACACTCTTCACGTCCGAGTCGCTGTTTGCCCGAACAGCTTGTGAGCAGAAGCCCCTAATCTTGCAGCTGAAAACCCGCCGACCGGTTCGGGTGGCGAGGAGCTCAGCCTGACCTCGCGAAGCCTGCGAGTCCTGGGTGGCCGTGACACGACACTTCTCCCCTCCCCCCCGCTGTCCAGGCGCCCAATCGCCAGCTCATGACGCACTGGCTGCAGGAGCTGCAGCAGAAGAGGTGGGAGTACTGCAACAGCCTGGACGGGGCGAAGCGCGCCAGCCGGGCCTCCCCGACCCCGGGGGACTCCTCCAAGGGCTTGGTGGCCCGGGACAGCTCGGGTGAGTCAGCCCCGGGGGGCCGTGTCCCTACACGGGGGGGGCCGGGCCGCGGTGGCCGGGCCTAGCGGGGGAGCGCAGAGCGAACTCGAACACGCGGCGACGGCCCCGTGAACGGGCAGCTCCCCGCCCTCCCTCCGCGTCCGGACGTGGGTCCCGGCCTCCAGCGATGGCCTCGTGGCTGCCAGGCCAGGCTTGCCCTCCGCCCTCCGCCCTCCGCCCTCCGCCCTCCGCCCTCGCTGGAGGCCGCGCAGAGCTGGGCGGGTTTGCCCCTGGAGCCCCCGGAGCCCCCGGAGCCCTCCGTGACCGGTGACCGGCGACCGGCGACGTGTCCTAGGAAGCGTTTCTCTGTCAACCACCAGCCGCCCACGTCCCTCCGGGTCTGTGCACGTCCCCGAGTCTCGGGAGCCCCGGCCACGTGCCCGGGCCTGTGGGCACCCGGCTCGTCCGGGACACAAGTGGCCCCTCCGGCTCCCGGGTGTCCTCTCCCCCCCAGACCCCGAGTGTCCCGCCGGCCTCATCTCACCAGTCGAGACCGTGTCGGCGGGGTCGCCCCCGGCGCGTGGGGGTCGCTGGCCGCGCCACACGCCCCCCGGTCGTCCTCCGGGGCAGGGGGGGGGGCCTGTCGGGGCGTTGCCACGGTGACCTCCCCCGCACGGCACATGCGCGCCGGGGGGCGGGGGCCCCGTTCCCCAGCTGCAGCCTCCATGTTCGGGCCCGAGATTTGTGACTGTCGGCTGAGCTTTTTAAAAGCCGCTGTCCTCGCGCGTTTGACGAAAAGAAGCCCTGCTCTTGGCAGAGGCTCGGGGCCCCTGGAGGCCGCGGGGGGAGCAGGCGAGGGCCCCCCCGCCCCGCAGGACGTCCTGTGGGGGCCGCGGCTGACGGAGGAGCGCGCTGCGTGGCCCTGCGAGCGCCTGGAAGCGCGACAGCCGTGCCCCCAGCTCGCTCCCGGCTGCAGTGCGGGCGTGTGGGAGGTCTGCGCTGGCCGGTGGCCCGGTCGATTGGAGCGTCGCCCCTCACGCCAGAAGGCTGCGGGTTCGATTCCCGGTCACTCTGTGCACAGGAGGGAGCCGATCGATGCTTCTCTCCCCCGCACCTGCCGTAAAATGCGTGAACACACCCTCAAGTGAGGAGTTCGAGGACGGAGCGGGTCTAACGGCAGAACCCTCCGGCGCAGGCGCTCTGCGGGGAGGCTGTGGGGCGAGGCTCGGTTGCGCCCCCCAGGCCGCGCCGCTGGGTGTCTGGGCCCGGTTCTCACGCAGCGTGTGGGTCAGTGTCTCCTGGGAGGCGCCGAGTCCCGCGTGGGCGGGGGGGCGTTGACCGGGTGCCCGGCCTCTGTCTGCCTGTCTTTCAGAGCTGCTCCACCCGCACCCAGATGCCTCCGCCGAGAAAGCCAGGAACGTCCTCGCTGTGGAGACCGCCCCCGGGGAGCTGGTGGGAGAGCAGGCCGCCAGCCAGCCGGCGCCCGGGGCCCCGAACTCCATCAACTTCTCCCTGAAGCAGTGGGGCGCGGAGCTGAAGTGAGTGTCGGGGCGCCACCCGCCCGGGGCGCCGAGCGGGGGGGGGGAGGGGGGCTCCTGGAGGCGTTGGCTGTGGTTCCGTGCGCGAATTTCACCCTCCGCCGCGGCCGCGGCCGCTCCCACTCGCGGGTCTTCCTCCCCCCGTGGCGGTCCGGGGCGTTTTCACTGCACTTCCCTGCACGCCCGGGGCTGCTTCTGCCGCATGAGCTGCCGTGTGAGTGCGCACCTTCCCAGGCGCTGGATTCCTTCGTGCTCCGTGAATTCCCGTGGACTTTGCTCTGGAACGAGCTGCGATCTCTCAGAGGCAGTTGGATGCCTTGGACGTTCCCGTCTGAGCTTCGTTAGGTGGGGCGGGCGCGGCCTTGGGGGGCAGCGTCAGCGCCCGGCGTGGGAGCGCTCCCCCCGTGCCCCCGGCTCAGGGGTGTGCCCGCTGCCGCGGGGGGGGGCTGGACGCCGGTCCCGCCCCCGGGTCACCTCGGGGACTGCTCACGGCGCTCCTCTCCGCGGGTCCCCTCCCAGCCTCGGAGCGCTCTCTCTCTCACAGCCTGCAGGCCCGCGCTGGGGACTCGGGGAGCCCCGAGGCGCGCCCCCTCTCTGTCCCGCTCTCCTCTGCCGCCCTGCGCCCCCGGCCTGCCCCAGGCCTGGACACCGTCTCCAGGCTGGGGGCGGGGCTGCCCTCGCTCCTCCCCCTCAGGCCGCCGCCCGGGTCCCGTGAGCCCGGGAATCGCTGTTCCCTTCGCTTCGTCCAGCCTCCCGTTTTCTCGGGGACCGGGGGTCCGGCCCCTCTGGTTCCGCGCCCCCCCCCCGGGAAGCAGACGTCCCCACCCAGTTTCTGAACGTTCCACTGCGATGTTCCCAGCGCGCGCACACACGTGTAGACCGTGTAGCACGGGGACTACCTGGGCAGCCCTGCCAGCCGGACGACGCTGTCGTGTTTCTGCTGCACCTGAGAGGCAGCGGGAGCACCGTGGAGGCAGCTCGGGCCCTGTCCCCCCGCGCCCCCCGCGGTCCGGTTCCCTCCTTGCCCTTCTCAGAGCTGCCCAGCGTCTGCGTGGTGGTCACCGTTCACGCGCAGGCTTTAAAAACAGTTTTACTGCCTGTGTGTCTATCTGTAAATGTCTCTTAATGGTATTACCCTGACGATGTAACACAGTACCCTGTTGCGTATCTCATTCTGTAATTTCTTTTTTACTCACCATTTAAGAAATATTGATCCGTATGACACGTGCAGCGTTAGCTAGAAAAGACGTTGGGCAGGGACGGGCATTTTTATCATGTCGCTGGCTCGTCCTGAATGCCTGCAACACTGTAGCCACGCAGGAAGTATCTGTTGAAGGAATGCATTCATTTCGAAAGATGCCTAACCTTTGTGTGAATGTGCTGTGGTTTGTCAGTTTCCCTGTTGATGGAAGTTTGTTGCACTCCTGTGCTAAGCTGTAACGAATGTTCTGGCTTGTGGCTTCTTGCACACACGTGTGAGACCTCGCCCTGGAAACGCAGGCTCTTGAGGTGGGCGCCCTGGCCTGGCCTGGCCTGGCCTGTGTCGGGACCAGCAGCCGCGGCGGCGGTGTGTGCCCGTGCCCGCCCGGCCGCGGGGCAGAGTGCCCTCGCCAGCGTCCGATGTTAACAGATCTTCGCACTGCGGCCAGCCCCTGACAGGTGCACTTGTGTTTTCGCAATAACACTTCCTCGTTCCCCACAGAAACTCCATGTCGTCTCTGCGCCCCGGAAGAGGGCACGAGAGCCGGAAGAGCGTGTTTTACACGCACGAGGAGTGGGAGCTGCTGGACCCGAGCCCCAGGGACCTGGAGGAGTCCGCGGCCCAGGAGGAGCGGAAGAAGCAGCCGCCCGAGGGCAGCAAAGGTGTGGTGCGCGGGGCTCCCGGTGCCGGTCCTTCCCCGCGCGGCCACCCTTCGTCGGCCCCCAGGGGCGCCCTGGAGGCCCTTCCGGCAGGTGCCTGTTCGGAGAAGCACAAGGCCCCGTGGGGGAGGGGTGCATTCTCTGGGTGGGAGGGGTGAAACCTAAAGGCCCGGAAAAGAGGAGCCACGGGAAATGAATGACCGCCCCTTTGCGGGCTCCTAAACTTTTCAAGGCGTCGTGACGTCCACGGTGCTCTTTACAGAAATACTGGCTGAAAGGCCAAAGCAGGTCGTTCACAGACACGTGACAGGCGCAGGGAGCCGACGGCAGGCCCCGCCCCGCGGCCCGCGCCAGCGGCTTGTCCTCGAGGGGGTTCTGGCGTCAGCCCGGGGCCCGTGGATATTTCAGTGTGTGTCTCTACGAGACGAGACAGGGACTCCTTAAAAAAATCATAACCACGAAACAACTTCGTCATTGTACCTAAAAGTAGGTGCCGTACATCTTGAAGAGTATCTCGTGCTGCTAGAGCAGAGGCTGGCCCACATTCAGGGGCGAGGGGCGAGGGGCGAGGGTGGGTGGCGTGCGCCACACCTGGAAAAGCAGGGAGGGGTCAGCCCAATCTGTTCACCTGGGTGTTCAAGGTTTTTAAGTTTATTTGTAGAAATGGGGAAGGGAGGGAGAAAGAGAGGAGGAGAAACATCCATGTGTGGTTGCCTCTCATGCGCCCCCTACTGGGGACCTGGCCTGCAACCCAGGCATGTGCCCTGAGTGGGAATCGAACCAGCGACCCTTTGGTTCACAGGCCCGCCCTCAAACCACTGAGCCACACCAGCCAGGGCTTAGGTACCAGTTTTTAAAGGAAGAGAATGTAGTCGTGCTTTAAAACATGGATCTATAATTGTTACATACATTTTGGGGATCGTTTTGCTACTTTTCTTACTAAGGAGCTATTAACAAAGACAGAGGTCAAGGGTCCCTCGATGTCTGAGCCCTGCCCGGGGGCCTGCCACCCAGCCTCCTGGGCGGGGCGTCCTTGCAGGGACCGTCCGGGGGCAGGGACGCCGTGTTCCCACGGCACCGAGGGCACCGAGAGCCTGGGTCTCCACCCTCCGCGCTCCTGAGAGTGCCCGTGGCGTGCACACAGAGGGTCAGCCGCGGGCGTTGGGAAGTACTGATGGATCCCGCAAAAGGACAGTGCCCCCAGAGAACCCTGGGAGAGCCACCGTCTGTGCCGTCCTGTGGCCGGTTCCTCGTTGGCGCCCACGTGCGCTCGGCCCTTCTCACCCGTCTTAAGGCGGAGATTGGGCCATCGGAGGACGACAGCGTGTTCTTTTAAAGTGGCCGCGGGGCGGAGTCTCATAAGGAAGCCTCTCCCGTGGGGGAGCGCGTCTGACTCAGGCGCGGCTGCTGCCGGCACGGAGCGGGCAGAGGCAGCTCCGGGGGGTGTGGGGGGCAGGAGCCTCGCTGCGGGGCGGCCTGTGCTGTGGGGGTTTCCCAGGGGGGACTGGGCCGCTCTTGACAAACAAGTTTTGTTTCCCTGTAGGGATCACTGTCTCGGGATTTCCCTTTGATTTTGGACGCGCTCCCTACAAAGGAAGGCGCCCCCTCAGAGACATGATTGGCTCGTACAAAAGCCGTCACGGCAGCGGGGACCCTGCCCCCGAGGGGACCTCGGGCGGCGGCGGCAGCGGGGCCCGGCCGGCCTCCGCGGTGCAGCTGCAGGTGCAGAGCCAGCAGGAGGAGCTGGAACGCCTGCAGAAGGACCTGTGCAGCCAGAAGGTGAGTCACTCTGCGCCTCACCCCCTCCTCCCACGTCGTGGGGTCGGGGCCTTGCCCCGGGGGAGCGCAGGCCCCTCGCGTGGCCAGAGGGGGGTGTCGTCCGCACCCCACTCTCCCCTGCACTGAGCTTCAAGCCGGAGCCCAGGAAGTGACTAGACGCCTTCCCGCATCTCGTCAAACGACAGTCTCCTCCCGAGCTCGTGAGACCCGACCCCCTTCGTCGCTTGGGGGGCCGGCGGCTCGATGTCCGGGCTCCAGGCGTCGGGCCCGGGCGGGCGCCCGCCCGGAACCATCGCAGATTGCAGAGTGTGTGTCCATCACTTCCTGTTTCCTGTGATTGTCCCCCGCCGGCAGTGGCCTTGGCGGAGTAGGGGTTTTCCTCTTCGTTTCTGAGATCCTCCAAGAGGAAGTTCGGTGTTAGAATGCTCCCAGTAACGGTTCTCGGTTCTCGTTGGCTCAGGCTCCTGCGCTGGTGCCCTGCGGCCCCCTCACGGCCCCGCCCCCCGCCCCCCGCCCCCCACCCTCCCCTCGCCGCAGGAGCTGGTGCGGCTGCTGCAGCAGACGGTGCGGTCCTCCCAGTACGACAAGTACTTCGCCAGCAGCCGGCTCTGCGACGGCGCCGCCCAGGACACGCTGGGGCTCCTGCACCAGAAGGACGAGCAGATCCTGGGCCTCGCCGGGCAGCTGGAGAAGTGCGGCCTGGAGAAGGAGAGCCTGCGGCAGGAGCTGCGGACGCTGAAGGGCGCGGTGGGCGAGCTCAACGAGAAGCTGGGCATGCTGATGGAGACCATCCAGGCCAAGGACGAGGTCATCATGAAGCTGTCGCGGCAGCTCAGCGAGTGCGAGGACGGCGCAGCCTCCCCCACCTGGCCGCCCGCCTCTCCCACCGCCGCCCCTGCCGGCCGGGACCAGCTGGAGCTGGACCGGCTGAAGGTGAGGGCCGGCGTGGGCTCTGCCTGCCGAGACCGGAGGCCCCAGACCCCTCCCCGGTGTCCGCGGATGTCAGTCCATGGCTGCCGGCCGCCACGAGCTACAGCCACAAAGTTGCTAGTCTCCTGGGGAGCTTCCCCGGGGAATAGGAGGCAGCCCAGCGGTGTTGCCATTGCTCCGGCAGTTTCAGCTCTCTCCCCTTGCTGGCTTCCAGCACCGCTGAGATATCTGTTTGTACACCCTAGGGCTTCCCCCTCCCACATAACCCACAGAGGCTGCATCTTGCCCCTCTGCGGCCAGTTCAGGAAAATCACCACATGAAATAAATGCATTTCCCCCTCTGCCCCGACACAGCAGCGGGCCCTGCCTGCCCGCAGCCGCCGGCAAGGGTGGCCCCAAAGGCTCCTTGGAAACTGCCTGGTAATCAGCTTTCAGTTCCTCAGAACTGGCTGAAGCTCAGCAGGGCTGTTTGGTGAGGCAGTGAAATATCAGTGGTGTGAATAATTAGATCAACATTCAACCAGTGTGAATCGGTGCATGTTTTTTTCCTGGCAGGATAACCTACAGGGGTACAAAACCCAAAATAAGTTCCTCAATAAGGAAATTCTGGAACTCTCGGCGCTGCGGAGGAATGCGGAAAGGAGGGAGAGGGATCTCCTGGCCAAGGTGGGTCAGGGTGGGTGTGTCCTGCTACCTGGGGCAGGTGAGGTTTGGGGGCCGTGGAGAACGTGCTGGAAACCCAGCTCAGCGCCCAGGCTGGCAGGGAGGCGGTCTCGGACGCCACGATCTCCGTAAGACAGCTATAGTGGGGCTGCTGCCGCCTCGCCGTCTGCGGTGGGGCCCACGGGCACTGCCCACGGGGGGGCGGCGGCGCCCGCCCGTGGAGGGGAGCTCACAGAAGCAAACGTGGAATTCCGAGTGTGCAGGTTCAGGGCGCCTGCATCTGGGACTCGTGCTGTTGGGCCGGGGGGGGGGTCTGCGTGTTCTCTGCCAACGGGCCGGTGAGGAGGATGCGGCCTCCCTGGGGGGGCGGCCCCGGCAGGGTCACTGGGAGGGTCGGACGCCGCTGGGGCTGCAGCCGGCTTCCCCGAGGGTGGCGACGTCACACACACACACACTGCAAGGACCGTCCTGTGACGTTCCGGGACGCTGCACCCCCCAGGTCACCCCCAGAGCCACCTCCCAAGCCTCGTTCTGTGTAACCCCCGCACCCAGGGCGGTTGTGTGTGATCTGCCCGGTGCGGTGGCAGGTGGGGGGCCAGTCCCGGGTCCTTGTCCTCAGAAGGTGTCGACGTAGCTCGCAGAGGCTGCCCGGCTGCCACATGCCCTCCCCCTGACCTTCCTGGCGGGCACGTGGCCAGCCTTCTGCGGCCGCCTCTGCCCCGGCCAGAGCGGTGCTGGTGTTGGCGTCTGAGCAGCAGCAGCAGCACCTCCTGTGCACCAGGCCCCGCGGGGGGAGCGAGCCCGCGGCAGGGAATGTCCCCCAGCACAGGCATCACAGGCGTCACAGGCGGCCTCTGGCTTGCACTCACCCCTCGGCCCTGATCTGCGTCTCCGGCTCCCTCCCCGGCACTCGGGGGGCCTGCCCCGCCCGGGCGGCCATGGGGCGGGAGGCCGGCTTTCCTGCGGCCGCCCGGGCGGGCGGAGGTGACGGCCCCTCTCTCCGCAGTACTCGAGCCTGGAGGCCAAGCTGTGCCAGATAGAGAGCAAGTACCTGATCCTGCTGCAGGAGGTGAAGACCCCCGTGTGCTCCGAGGAGCCGGGCCCCGCCCGCGAGGTCATCGCCCAGCTCCTGGAGGACGCGCTGCAGGTGGAGGGCACGGAGCAGCCGGAGCACGCCTTCGTCAAGCCTCACCTCGTCAGGTAACGCGCGGCAGCGGCTGCCAGGGGGTGCGGTCGTGGGGCCAGGTGTCTGTCCCTTTGCGGGCTGTCCGGGGTGGGAGGGCCCTCCCAGCCCCCCGAGCCTGTGTCCCACAGCTGGTGGCCCCTTCTTCCCTCGCCCGGGCCTGCCAGGGCTCCAAGCCGCCTCTGTGGCCGGCTTCCGCCCCTGAGGGCTCCCTGGCGATGCTGGACTCACCCGACCCCTCGGGATGACCCACCCCCCCAGTCTGAGGCCCTCCTGTCACCTGCCACGGCACGACACCTCCGCAGGCCGAGTGCCCTTCCCCCCCCCCCGGGCAGCTCCTGAACGGTTTTCTCCCTCGTCTTTGCGCCTTTCACAGCGTTGCCGCTGTTCCACCGTAAAAGCCGTGCATGCACATGTGTGACACACACACATTCACGTAGCCAAGTGTGTCGGCCGTGTTGTGGGGTTGCTTGTGTCTCCTGTGCTCTTCACCTTCAGGGCTTTTTTCACCGTCAGGGCTTTAAACCATCTGGAATTATTTTGTTGATTTTGGTTTTAAAGATTTTATTTACTTATTTTTAGAGAGAAGGGAAGGGAGGGAGAAAGAGAGGGAGAGAAACATCAATGCATGGTTGCCTCTCATGCGCCCCCTAGTGGGGACCTGGCCTGCAACCCAGGCAGGTGCCCTGACTGGGAGTCGAACTGGTGGCCCTTTGATTTGCAGGCTGGCGCTCAATCCACTGAGCCACAGCAGCCAGGGCCAGAATCAGTTTCTTTACTGTGTCATATCAAGGAGAAATGTAATGTTCGCTGGCCGGTGTGGCTCGCTCGGTTGCCGTGGCACCCTGTAACTGAAAGGTTGAAGGTTCGACCCCTGGTCTGCCGAGTGCAGGAGGCAACCAGTGATGCCTCTGTCTCTGTGAAAAGCAGCGGAAAGAATACCCTCAGGTGAGGGTTAAAAAAAAAAGGAGTTACGTGTAACTTTTTCCCACGCAGAGAGCCAGCCGCTCTCACGCTGCTCAGGCTGAACTCGGCTTCCTCGCGGGGTCGGAAGGCCCGACTGTGGGGGGAACGGCCAGAGCTCCCTCCCGGGCTCTCCCCTCGGTCCTGCCGCCGAGACCCCACCGTCCCGTCTTCCCCGCGCCCCTCTCCGCAGCGAGTACGACATCTACGGGTTCAGGACGGTGCCGGAGGACGACGAGGAGGAGCAGCTGGTGGCCAGGGTGCGGGCGCTGGACCTGAAGAGCCTGCACCTCACGGAGGCGCAGGAGGTGTCCACCGGCGTCAAGTGGGAGAACTACTTCGCCAGCACGGTGAACCGCGAGATGGCGCGCTCGCCCGAGCTGAAGGGCCTGATCCGCGCCGGCATCCCGCACGGGCACCGCTCCGCCGTGTGGAAGTGGTGCGTCGACCTGCACACGCGCAAGTTCAAGGACGGCGCGCCGCCCGGCTACTTCCAGGCCCTGCTGCAGAAGGCGCTGGAGAAGCAGAACCCGGCCTCCAAGCAGATCGAGCTGGACCTGCTGCGCACGCTGCCCAACAACAAGCACTACTCCTGCCCCACCTCCGAGGGCATCCAGAAGCTGCGCAACGTGCTGCTGGCCTTCTCCTGGCGGAACCCGGACATCGGCTACTGCCAGGGCCTCAACAGGTGCGTGCCCGTCCCGGCGCCCCGCCGGCCGGCCGCTGGCCGCTGGGCTCTGGCCGCTGGCCGCTGGCCGCTGGCCCCTCCCCTCGTGCTTGGCTGAGAAAACCCAGTGTTTTCGCGGAAAGGAGGAGCTGCCTGCGGTCAGCTGGTTTTCACGTGGTTTTTTTGAATCCTCACCCTAGGATGCGGGTGTTGATTTGGGGGGGCGGTGGGTGCCGGGGGGGGGCGGGCGGGGAGAGAGGGGCGGCCGCTGCGGAGCCCCGTCTGTGCGGGGACGGCAGGCGGCCGGGCTGTGGGGCCGCGGGCAGAGGACAAGGCGGGCACGGCGCCCCCTGGCGGCTCCCTGTGGGAGAGACGGGGCGTGCGCCGCGCCGGGGCGGCGTCGGCGGCCAGACCCGACCCAAGTCCCCATCGCGAACCCGGAGCTGCCCACGTGGCGTCCGTGGGTCTGAAGCTCCTCTTTAAGCAAAACCTCCTGTGCCTGCCTCTGGCGTCCGCCCTGGGGTTTTCGTGCAGAAGAGGATTGAGCCACAAACTCAAGGAATTAGCCGCCGCGGCGGAGTCTGATCCTGAAAACTCCCTCTCGAGCGGCTGGTGGACCGCTGGGAGGCCCTGTCCTCGCCCCCCCCGGGCTGCGCCCCCCGGAGCGCGGGGGCGGGGGTGCGGCCGTGCGCAGGGGCCGGCCCCGAGCGTGGGAGGAGTCGTGGCCGCGTGGACGCGGGCCCTGCCGGCGCGCTCACCGCGTCTCCCGGCGCTTGCAGGCTGGCGGCCGTGGCCCTGCTGTACCTGGAACAGGAGGACGCCTTCTGGTGCCTGGTCACCGTCGTGGAGGTCTTCATGCCCCGGGACTACTACACAAAGACGCTCCTGGGGTCCCAGGTACGGCCGCCCCCACCGCGCTCCTGCCGGCCTCCGGCGCCGCGGCAGCGGGCGGGCAGCTGGAGCGGGGCGTGGACGCAGGCTTGGCCGTGGCCGGCCCCAGTGGAGCCCAGGAGGCGGGGCCGAGGGGACGGCCGAGGGGACGGGGTGGTGTCCACCAGCCAGAGAGAGCTCGCCCAGGGCCAGGCCGCGGGGGGACCGCTCTTCCCGGTCACAGCTCCGCGCTCTCTCCCTGCACGCCGCGTCTCCCGAGCGCTGCGGCCCCGGGGGTCCGTCCTGGCCTGGCCTCCGGCCGCCTCCCTCAGCTGCCTGGCTGCTCCGCTGCAGTGGCCAGGGTGGCCGCCCGCCCGCCGGGGGAAAGGACCTCTGCGGTGACCGGCCGGGAGGCCCCGGGGTTTGCAGCGCTGCCGTGGCGCCGGGCCCTCCCTGCCGGGAGCTGTGCGGCTCAGCGCCAGCCGGGCTCCCCCCGCTGCAGTGTCCCCCCCCGCCCCCCCTCTGTGAGAGGGTCTGAGGTTGGATTCTGATGACGCACGGAGAGCTCAGCGCCGACAGTGTGGTCAGAGCTCAGCAACGTTGTCGCTGACGCTGTCACGGGCCCGGGGAGGCCTGCGTTAGCTGTGGGTTTGAGATCGAACCTGCATCCCTTCGTGCTGCAAACACGTGGCCTCTGAGGAGACAGCCCGCCCCACGGTGAGGGCGGCGGCTCTCCGGAGAGAGAACGAGCGTTTTCAGTTACTCCCCATCCACTGTTCTCCCGCCTAAGGCTGACACGCTTCAGTGTCGGGGGACAGCCGGGCGGGCGGGCTCTCGGCAGCCGAGTGCCCTCCGCGTCCCCGCGGGCAGGCCCGGTCCAGCTGGTCCTCAGCCGAAGGCCTGCAGTGCGCCCGGCTGCGCCCCTCCCACGGTGCGCTCGCTCAGCCGGCCAGCCCGCGCTGTGCTCGCAAACCCCTGCGGGTCGGACACTCCCGCCGGGACCCAGCGCCGTACCCCTGGCAGGCAGCCCCCGGCCAGCCGCCCGGCCTCCCCACGGTCAGGCACGAGGGGCGCGGCTGTCACCCGGACGCCGAGGACGGGGTCGCCCCGCCTCTGCCCTCCGCCCTCCGCCCTCTGCCCTCCGGCCTCCGCCCTGTGCAGGTGGACCAGCGCGTGTTCCGCGACCTCATGAGCGAGAAGCTGCCGCGGCTGCACTCGCACCTGGAGCAGCACCAGGTGGACTACACCCTCATCACCTTCAACTGGTTCCTGGTGGTCTTCGTGGACAGCGTCGTCAGCGACGTCCTCTTCAAGATCTGGGACTCCTTCCTGTACGAGGGACCCAAGGTGGGCCGGCAGCGGCGGCGGCCCCGGGCTTGTCGTCGGAAGCGCGTCGGGCGCACTAGCCTTGCTCCCTGGGGGGGGGGGGGGTCGGGGGCTTCACCGGCCCGTGGGCTGCGCTGCCCCCAACGAGATGGACAGTAGTGCTGCCCTGTCGGGGCCAGCGGTCAGTTCACACGGCCGGGGGCGGCCCCGGGCCACTGCGGATCCTTGTGCCCGAGGGCCTCCCACACCGTCTGCCGTCTCTTTAAGACCCAGTTCCGCGGGAACCGAGTGGTGCACTCAGACTGTGGGGGGGCGGGGGGCAGCAGGACGGAGATGTGGGCGCTGCAGGCGTGTGGCGTGGAGCTGCTCTCTCCCTTCCGTGTCCTGGTCTTGCTTCCCGGTGCATCATGTGTTTCTCTCTGGGTCTTTTGTGTGTGTCTCAAATGTGGGCTTTTTTTTTTTCCAGATTTTATTTATTTTTAGAGAGAGGGGAAGGGAGGGAGAAAGAGAGGGAGAGAAACATAGAGGGAGGGTTGCCTCTCGCACGCCCCAGCACTGGGGACCTGGCCTGCAACCCAGGCCTGTGCCCTGACTGGGAATTGAACCGGCAACCCTTTGGTTCACAGGCACTCAATCCACTGAGCTACACCAGCCAGAGCTAAAATACAGGCTTTTTTAAAAAACTGTCTTGGAGATAGTTCTATACCAGGTCATATGGGTCTGGGTTTGTTTGTTTTTTGTTTTGTTTTTGACTGCACAGTATCTCCGTATACAGATGAGCCAGAAATACACGTAACAGGCCCCGATGAGGTCTCTCCCACACGTGCTCCTGTGGGCCCGGGAGTGGACGTGCGGGGTCCAGGGTGGACCTGTCTGCGTCCTCACAGACAAGTCGCCCTGCCAAGGGCCTCACGGACGAGGGGTCCCGCCAGCAGAGCCAGCGTGTGCGCCCCCCACTCTGGGCCCGCGCAGCACTGCACCCCGGCCTGCGGGTGCTGCGGGGAGCTGTCAGCCAGGGCCCGGCCGCTGCGTGCTCTGGGCAGCTCCCCGCCAGGCCCGTTGGACTTGCAGGGCGACCACGAGCCCGGCCCTCGGCCTCAGGCGCTGCGTCCCCACGACAAAACAGTAGAAAATGCGTGTTTCCACCCGCCAGTCAGTGACGCGCAGCCGCCCTCGCGGCGAGGCAGAAGCTGCCGCGTGGCGGTGCGGAGCCGTCGGGGCTGAGACCCCGCGTGGAAACCGTGTCCGGTTCCGTCCGCGGTCACCCGCGCTGCCCCTCCCCCCCCACAGGTCATTTTCCGCTTCGCCCTCGCGCTCTTCAAGTACAAGGAGGAGGAGCTCCTGAAGCTGCAGGACCCCATGTCCGTGTTCAAGTACCTGCGCTACTTCACGCGCACCGTCCTCGACGCCCGGTGAGTCCCGGGGCGGGGCCGAGCTCGGGCCCGCAGGTGCTGCCGCGGCTCCGCTTCTTCCCGAGGGTCTGCGTCCCCCCGGGGTAGACGGCTTGTCGGGGAGGGGCGGGACCGGCTGCTCTGGGAGGCCAGGGGTCCGCAGGAGGGGCGGCAGCCTGGAGCGAGCACACGGGGGCGGGGGGGGGGGGGTGGGCGCCAGACCGGAGAGAGTGGGAGACCCGGCCGCTCTGGCCCGGCCGCGGTGCTCGCAGATCCTTCCGCCCGGCCCGCCCCCGCCTCCCGGCTGCTGCACCCGGCCCTCCCTGTGGTCCGTGCGCGCCCTGGCCGCCCCGGCCCGGCCGCCGGGCGCTGTCCTGAGCGCCTGCTGCTGCCCGGGAGGCCAGGACGGCGCCTGTGCGACCGCCAGGCGGTGCTCGCCTGCAGCGTCTTGTTCTCGGGAAGTCGATGTTGGAGGAGCTCTGGGGGCCAAGGACACGTGGGCGCCCGCGGTCTCGGTCGGGCAGGCGGAGGAGCCCTCTGTCTGAGCCTGCCCTCCCCAGTGAAAGCTGGATGCTGCGCCCCGGGGGCCCGAGAGTGTCCGTCCCTCTCCCGTGGTGGGGTCGGGCGGCAGGCGCACTGGGCGGACTTCCCCGCCGCGGCGCCCGGGGACGGAGAGCGTCGTGGTTCCAGAGACCCCCCCCCCGCCCCCCGTCCCCGTCCCCGTCTGGTGCAGCTCTGGGCCGAGGGGGACGGGACCTGCCTGCCAGCTGCTCCTTTGGCGCCACCTGTTGGGGGCGCAGGGTCGGCGTCCCCAGCCTGTGGCTTCAGGAAGGCGAGGTCACTGGGTCAGGAGTTCCCGGGGCATCAACGCGCCAGGCCGGCTGCAGAGGGTCTCCCGGGGCGGTTAGGACCGTGGGTGCCTCCCCACCGCCCCCTGCACCGGGCCCCCGGGTGTGGAGCTGCAAACACACAGACTCTGCGGCCGAGGGTTGGGGCCCCGTCCCCGCTCCCCCAGCGGGACCTGCGCCCTGCTGACGCTCCGTCCGTGTCCCCCCAGGAAGCTGATCGGCATCGCCTTCGGGGACCTGAACCCCTTCCCCCTGCGCCAGATCCGCAACCGGCGCGCCTACCACCTGGAGAAGGTGCGGCTGGAGCTGACGGAGCTGGAGGCCATCCGGGAGGACTTCCTGCGCGAGCGGGACGCCAGCCCCGACAAGGGCGCGCTGGTCAGCGACGAGGAGGAGGACACCTGAGCGCCCGCCCTGCAGCCGGGGGGTGACCTGCAGACAGAGCGTCTCCACCGGGGTCTGGGGGGTCTGCCGGCAGCCGTCCAGGGCACACCGCGGCCTCCGCTCCTCTGGGCCGGCGGCCGGCTCGCGCCGGTGCACAGCCGCCCGCCTGCCTGCCATGCATCCGTCCCGGGACCCAGCAGCCACTCGCACCGGTCGGCCGTGGGGGTCCGGGCCCTGAGGAGGCCCCAGGTGGGCCGCCGCCTCTTCCCATGGGCCGCTGGCAGCGTCCAGGCAGCCGGCTGCGGAGGACGCCCGGCGCTCAGACGCCCAGGCCGGAGTGTGGCTGCCCGTGGCCTGCGGTCAGTGCGAGGGGAGCGACCTCCTAGGAGAAGCAAGCACGCCGCCGTTCAGAACCGGCCGTAGAAACCACCCCGGCCTGCCGGCCCCGGCACCACACGCGGTCCCGCGGGAAGCTCTCCGCGTGTCGGGGCCACGACTCTCGGGGTGTCTCCAGCACAGACAGACGGCACGGGGTCCCGGGGAGGCTGGCTCAGCGTCCCGCCAGCCGGGCCCGCCCCGGGTGGCCTCGGTCACGGGGGACGCAGGGCGGCATCTGTGGCTTCCTCGGCGGCAGCAGCCGCCACCGGCGCACCTGCTGTGTCCTCGCCCGGCTGGGGCCCCGGTGCTGGGAAGTGCCCCCCCTTCCCCGGACCCACCACGTGGTTCCAGGGGCCCTGAGACCCGAGAGCCGCCTCTCTGAAGCCCCAGTCTTTGCACAAGGAAGGGGGTGCCGCGCCGCCATCCTGGGCCGTCGGCGTGGCGGGCGCTGTTGTTCGAACAGGAAAGACGCCGTTTTGGACGGAGCCCTTCACCCTGCGCGGAGCAGACGGGAGACGGCCTCTGGCTGGCAGACACCGAACACGCTCAGGCTGAGAGTCGAACCCGAGCCATTCGGGGGCGGTCAGCCTCCGCGTTCGGGGAAGGGGGGGGGCTGCCTCGTTGGATTCCCACTGTGTGGGGGAGCTGGTCTCTGTGTTCAGCCAGAAACAAGCCTCTGTCTCCCGTCCGTCGTCAGCAGTGGGGTCTCCGTCCTGGGGGTCTCTGGGAGCCGGCGCTGCAGCTCCAGCTCCTGCAGGAAGTTGCTGCTGCAGGAGCCAGCTGCTGCAGCCCCTGCTCCCCCCTCCCCCGGGGCTGTCAGCCTGGGGGTGCCGTGGGCGTGGGGCGCAGCTTCCTGCAGACCTGGGTTCCCAGGTTCATCTCCCCTGGACCTCCCGTCCTGGGGCGGAAACACGGCCTTAGGAACAGGCCTGTGGTGCCCCTTTGGCTCTGAAAAGACGCACCTTGGAAGCACCTGAAGCGACTTCGGGGCCCGGGTTTCAGCCCTTGCGCCAGCGGCGGCGGTGATGCCACGTGGCCCGGCGGTGGGCGTGAGAGCTCTGTGGGGGAGGGGTGGGCAGGGGCGCTGAGTCCACATGGGGCCCCGATGGCACTAAAGTCCGGCCCCACTGCCCGAGCCACCCTGCCTCCTGGGGCAGCTGGGACCAGGCAGGGCAGCCTCCGCAGCCGCCCAGGGCGCGGGCCGTGGCCCACAGGACCCTTGTGCTGAGGTGCCAACTCTGTGTTGCTGGGCCTTCTTTTTTATGGGTCGAACATCCGTGAATACTTTTGTATATTTCACTACAGTTTATATTTTTATAGCCTATTTTTATCAAGGTTTTTCAAGTTCATATGCCTGTATTTTGTATAACAAGTTCTTCTGTGTGCAAGGCTCCCTCGTGCGTATTTATGTGACCCTGAAGGTCCCAAGTGGCTCTGCACGCCGGGCCACCACGGACCCTCGCTCCTGTGCGGCCCCCCCGTCGCCCCAGGTCGTGCCCTAGGGTCCTGCTGTCGGCCGTCCCGCAGCAGCCAAGACCATGGTCCCCAAGGAGACTGTGGCCTCGACCACATTGCACCGACATGGGAAGTGTCCTGGGCAGACAGCGTCCCAGGCTCTGCCTGACGCGGGGTCTGTGTCGCCCCCGACACCCCGACACCCCGCCCCCCTGTGCGGCGGCTGGGAGCCGGGCTGCGGCACTGCCCCCTCACTCCTGCTCTCCTGTCACAGCAGCGTCCGCGCTCACCTTCCAGGTCAGCCTTGGACTTGCCCTGTTAGAAAGTAAAATAAACTAATTTGTATGACATTCCAACACGATGCACAGTTGCAGTCACTTGGGGGCAGGGCCAGGGTGGCCGTCAGCAGGGGCAGCCCTGGGGGGCCCTGCCAGCCAGCCTCGTGGCAGGTGGGGGGCGGCAGCCAGGATGGGGGCGTCTGCAGGGGCCTGGGAGCCTGAGCAGCCCCCAGCCACGAGGACAGGCGACCCTCCCACTGCCTGTGACCTGCCGTGCCCGGGTCTCCTGAAGGAACACAGGAGAGTGACTGAGACCAAAGCTGTTCCCACGGTGTGGGGCAGGGGGCTCCAGGGAGGATTCACAGACAGTCCGAGGCGGCTTAGACCCGGTGAGCCGTCTCCTCCCGGGGCTGTAGGCGCCAAGGCTGCTGGTTCCTGAGCTCCCCCAGCACCACGGCAGGGGCAGGAGCCAGGCTGGGGCTGACATTGTAGGCCCGATGTCCACAGACACGGACAGCAAGAAAGCCGGGCCATGAGGTGTGGAGGACGGCAGAACACGGACAGATCTATGTATTCTTGGTATTCTCAGATTAGAAGCAAGTGAATCTACTTCACTCTCGGAATTCCAGGATCCACAGAAAAACGGAGTTCAGTTTCCCCAGACCCAGCCTCATTGCCCAGTCCTTCGGAAAAAAACCCATTCCACACTCACTGTTCACAGCCGAGTGGCAAAAATTCTGGGGGGAAACCAGCAAGTGCAAAGACACAGGGCTGTAGTAGCTGGGGACTTTCTCCAGAGACGCCAACCCCATAAATTACTCACAAGTATGTGAGACTCCTGGATATCCATTAAAGCCCTTAAAGTTGAAAAGGCATTTGTCCAATTTCCAACTCACGATCTTTTCAAAAGCAGGTAAATGGTGCCGCCTGGTGGACACAGTTGGTATTGCAGTCGACACCACAGGGACAAAAGGGACCTCTCACTGTCTTAGGGACGAGGGCTAGGTGTCTCCCGCTTCCCTCTCAAGCCTAACAGAACCCGCACAGGTAACTGAGTTCAGTCTTTCTCGGTCCGGTTGTATTGCCAGGTCCTCCAGGAATGAGCCATTCCGGAGACGCCTTAAGGAAACAGCCACATAGAGAGCATTAATGAGGAGGAAATGCTAAGTACAAAGGGCAGAGCAGATGCAGCTGAGCTAGTTTTCAAGACCCTCCCACCCATAAATCACCCACTACTTTCCTAGATTCCTGCGAAGCCATCAAGGCCTGCAGCAAACTCGACAGCCACTCAGGTTATCCGCCGCCCCCCCCCCCAAGCCCCGCCCGCAGTCAGTATTTTTGAAAAGTGGGTAAGTGGTGCCGCCTTGTGGACACGGTTGGTATTGCAGTCGGCAGGACCGCGACAAATACGAGTTGTCTGTACAGTGAAATCTCCGTTCCGTTCCGAACGTGAACAATTCGGTTCATGACCCAAGTTATTCACAGGAAAAAAAATTCTGTGTCATTTGTCGAACAAAACATCACTTCTCTGCCCGACAACATTTTCATGCTGATAGCTGGGGGAAATGATTCGGTTTTCGAACGAAGCTCTTCTCCAACAACTGTGCAGGAGAAAATCAGTTCGAGACCCGAGGTTCCACTGCACAGCGGCCCCGAGGAGGGGTAGGCCGGGAATCTTTCCAGACCCGCAGGCAGAAATAGCAGGTCGGGGCCGCCGGGCGCAACCGAGTCTCCTGGCTCCACAGCTGGGGGTGTCGCCTCCGGAGCCCGGAGCCCAGCATCTGTGCAGCTGCCGGGGGTTGTGCCCGCTGCTCAGGCTGCCTCAGCTCTTCTTGGCTCTATACTTGAATATTACTGTAAGTGTCTCTCTCTCTCTCTTCCTTCCTTCCTTCCTTCCTTCCTTCCTTCCTTCCTTCCTTCCTTCCTTCCTTCCTTCCTTCCTTCCTTCCTTTGTTGTTGTGTGAGAAACAGAGAAAGGTCAATTTGTTGTCCCACTTATTTGTGCATTCATTAGTTGATTCTTGTATGTGTCCTGACCAGGGATCAAACCCACAACCATGGAGTATCCGCATACCACATTCCCAACAACTGTCCCCTAGACTAGGGCTGTAAGTCTTTTCATTTAAATGGGCAAATTGAGCCCCGAGTGGTGTAGCTCAGTGGATTGAGCGCTGGCCTGGAAACCAAAGTGTCCTAGGTTCAATTCCGAGTCAGGGCATATGCCTTGGTTGTGGGACAGCTCCTCAATGGGAGCCACCTGAGAGGCAACCACACACTGATGTTTTTCTCCCTCTGTTTCTCCTCCCTTCCTCTCTCTACATAAGATCTTTAAGAAAATAAATAAATGGACTTAGTGGTTGATCTATACCACTCCACTCCATGGGTATGACATGCCAGGGCACTACCTGAGCTGTAACTGGGGTGTGCCTAATAGTTTCAAATGTCTTAGGTTATTTTTTTTAATAATCACAGTTGATTAGGGCAGGATGCATTCTTTTCTTATTTAAACTGATGGAAGTAGCAAAATTTAGAGAAAGTGAATATGAAAGTTAGATGGTTTTATGATGCTAAGAAAGAAGCATCCTCTTTAAGATAAGCAGCCTATTAATTTAATCATTGATATTTTACAAGAGAAAATGCCTTTTCTAAGACCCTAAGTATGTGCAGGTCTTAAAATTATCTGTGGATTTTCTTAAAAGTTGTTTTTGAAGTCAGTTTCCCCTCTTAGATGTTCTCAGGAGTCGTGGGGTAAAGGCATTTCTGGCTCTTGGCAGGTGAGATAGTGCTTGTTAACTATTTGTCAACTGTCAGTAGTTATAACCGAACCGTGTGCTCCGGCCCGGCTTCAGCTCCCCCGTCAACACGCCTCAGAGTGCCGACAGAACACACTTCTTTGCAGTCAGAAGCAGAGCTGGAGGAGCTACAGATTAAGGAGGAACAAATAAATAACTTTAAGTTCTTTTTTTAAAGATTGTATTTATTTATTTTTAGAGAGGGAAGGGAGGGAGAAAGAGAGAGAGAGAAACATCAATGTGAGGTTGCTGGGGGCCATGGCCTACAACCCAGGCATGTGCCCTGACTGGGAATCGAACCTGCGACATTTTGGTTCTCAGTCCATGCTCAATGCACTGAGCGACACCAGCCAGGGCTAATTTTAAGTTCTTAATAATTACCTCCAACATCCAAGACTATGAAAATAATTCTTCACACCTATTGTCTCGCTTGAGTGGGATACATTATTAGCAGTACTTCTTTCTAAAAACATAGTGAAAGAACAACAAATAAGTGGGGGCTGACTTTTAAATTCAACAGGAACCGGCTGCATAGACTAGTTTTGGATGTAAGTATACCCAGGTGCTTTGGATGGTTCACAGGCTTTGCAGCATGTTATCTGACTGTCCTTTAAAGTAGCTGTAAAGTTTTGCCATTTTCTAAGTCAAGCTCACGCAGGGAATGGAAGCTTTTCATTATGAAATAACAACAGCAATAACGAAAATAACAACAACAACACACTATTTTCTGAAGATTTCCGGAAACCAGTCCAGATTCCTAGCAAAGTCAGCCAAGACTTTTTAAAAAGTAAGTAAGTGCTGCTACCCTGTGGACTCACGTGGTGTTGCAGGACGCAGAACGAAACCAATGGGACAGCTGTAGCTCAGCTCAGGGCTAGGTGCGTCCTGCTTCCCTCCCAGACTTAACAGAACCTGCAGAGGTAACTGAGTTCAGGGTTGCCTGCACCGGCTGCATTGCCAGGTCCTCTAGGAATGAGCCACTCCAGAGACAGCGTTAAGGAAACAACCATAAAAAGAGCATTAAGGGGGAGGCAGTACTAAATATCGAGTTGGCCAAATACTCTTTTTTTCCCCCTTGAGATGGCTCTAGTTGGGCTTAGTTGTCTATAACTTCATTTGAAATAATTTTGTTACATTATAGTGTACAGTTCTCATCAGTGTGCATTAAAACACTTATCAGAACACTTATCATAAATTTTTGTGTAGCCATTTTAGTAGTGAACGTGGAAGAAAATATGCCACATTTTCAGCATATTGTGCTGTATCATTTCAATAAACCAAAAATATACCGAAACAAACAAACAAACAAAAAAAACATTTGTGCAGTGCCCGGAGGAGGTGCTGTGCGACTGATCGAACATGGGAAAAGTGATTTGCATACTTTCAAGTTGGAGATTTTACAATGGATGATGCTTCACGATTGTATAGACCAGCTGAACTTGATAGCGATCAGAGCGAGACATTAATTGAGAATAATCAACGTTATACCCCACAGGAGATAGCTGAGATACTCAAAATACCCAAATCAATACAGTTATGGGTGAAATGAAAAATCTTTTCTTTTACACACACACAAAAATGAGCTTTTTGGCCACGCCAATATAAAGAGCATGAGAAGATGTAGTTGGGCTAGTTTTCAAGGCCCTCCCACCCATAAGTTACCCACTACTTTCCTACACTCCTGCAAAGTCATTTGGGCCCGCAGCTAAGTCGACAGCCATTTAGGTTATTCCCCCCCCACCCCCCTACAGTCGGTATTTTTGAAAAGCGGGTAAGTGGTGCCGCCTTGTGGACACAGTTGGTATTGCAGTAGGCACCACAGGGACAAATGGGACCGCTCTCTGTCTTCAGGTTGAGGGCTAGGTGTCTCCCGCTTCCCTCTCAAACCTAACAGAACCCGCACAGGTAACTGAATTCAGTCTTTCCTGGGCCGGTTGTATTGCCAGGTTCTCCAGGAATGAGCCATTCCAGAGACGCCTTAAGGAAACAGCCACATAGAGAGCATTAATGGGGAGGAAATGCTAAGTACAAAGGGCAGAGCAGATGCAGCTGGGCTAGTTTTCAAGACCCTCCCACCCATAAATCACCCACTACTTTCCTAGACTCCTGCGAAGCCATCAAGGCCCGCAGCAAAGTCCACAGCCACTCAGGTTATCCGCCCCCCCCTCCGCAGTCGGTATTTTTTAAAAGTGGGTAAGTGGTGCCGCCTTGTGGACACCGTTGGTATTGCAGTCGGCAGGACCGCGACAAATGCGAGTTGTCTGTACAGTGAAACCTCCGTTCCGT